CACAGGTCATGACATCATCTGCAAACATGATACTCCACAGGGATTCCTGTCTGACCTAGTCAGTTAGGCTTGTTATCAGTTAGTCCGATTGGTAATGTTTTTTACAAACCACCAATACTAAAGCAGCACTTTTTTGGTCTTTAAACTTATCCTTCAAACTCTACCTTTGTATCGCCTCTGTTGCAGGGTAGCATGGGTAGCATTGCTTGCATTGCCTGGAAAGGGGACACCTTGGTGCTTGGAGATGTGGACGGCAATCTCAATTTCTGGGACCTCAAAGCTCGTTTGTCGAGGTAATAGCTAAAATCTGCCGTGATGCTTTTTGTCCATTAATTGACTGAACTGGTTTTCGAATATTTGGAGCGTTTGAGATGTTAAACAAAGTGGACTGTTTGAGAAAAGCTGTGTTGATTCCATGATGTGACTAACATAGAAACTGCAAAAATAATCAACAGATGAATTAATAATAAAAATTACTCTTAATACACGGCGGCTCTAAGGGCAAGATCACAAACAAAAAGGTCAAAATTAAAGGAAGGTCTTTGCTTGTCCACGCCATTGCTATACATTACTATATCATAGTTTGGCGATGGCATATAATGTACCGTATGTGGTACTCGTTTTATCTTTTCAGGGGAATTCCGACGCATCGTGGCTGGGTGAAGAAGATCCGATTCGCTCCGGGTAAAGGCAACCAGAAGCTGCTGGTCATGTACACAGATGGAGCCGAAGTGTGGGACACTAAAGAGGTGAGGGTCTGTGATACCAGTAATGCGTCAATGTCACAGCGGGACTGGAGTTGATTCCTAAAGTCAAATTTACGGTGCAAATTCTAAAACTTTACTGCAGTCCACAACTGAAGCAGAAGGAAAAGCTGCTGCAGTGGTCTCCAAGTTCAGCTTGGCTGACAGACTTTCTGTGGCAAGTTCCTTTTGTTTCCATGGTGCTCACTGAAGTACGACACTGGTTGGTTGTGTTTAATCCCACTGTAAAGCTATCACTGCTGTCTTATTAGACACTGTACCTGTAGCAGTATGCCATGCGCAAGGTGTAAGTATCTTGTTTCCAGAGGAATGTCGTTTGTCTTTCTCCCTAGTTAAGAGTTCTTCCGGATAGTTTTACACTCTGGTTTATCGTTCAGGGTTGTATTAAAAGTAAGCCTACAAAAACACAATGAGTGCTAAAAAGAGATGAACAAATTAATGACTCGGATGATTTGGTTAATTAGTAGAGCAGAAAGTGGAGAGGGACAGCCCCGTTGGAGCGCAGTCGTCTGCAGGCTGTTCAGTCCCGGCTGTAAAAAGCCAGACAGCTAATGGATCGAGCTGCGAAGGGAAACGGTAACAGAGCGGTGAAGAGGGGGAGACAACGGATGGGTTGAGAGACGAAATGGGGGAGGAGGAGAGAAAGTGCAGAGCAATTTCCCAAATGCTTCAACGCTCTGCTGACGGCTGGGTTACATTCACCGCTGCCTCGTAAAAAAGCTGGACGGAGAGGTTTTTTTTTAACAGAATACAAATTAGGTTTTTCCCACAAAGTTTATTGTTATTTGTTTTCAGTGTAAAACGTCCTTTTTTTATACATTTACTTATTGCAGATAATGGGGAATTGTTAATAAAGAATACCAAAGAACAAATACAATTTAAAAAAAAGTTCATTAGTGTGAGGTAATGCTCTTTATAATTAGAGAAACTGTCATTGCTGCAAATATGCTGTGTGGATGTGGAGTGCAGGACAAAAGATGCAACGAGCAGAACAGAAGTTAAAACAAGTCAAACTGAAGTAAAAACTTCAGCCCCGACCAATATGGAGATTTGGGCTGATACTGATATTGGGAGGGGAAGGCGATCGCTGATAACCAGTAAAATGTCTGAAACATATTTCTTTGTCCACCCCAAGAATCTAATTAAACAGCTACTTTTAAACCTGTTTTAACTCTTGAAGTCTTGACAGAGTATTCCTAACGTGCGTTCACATTTTCTATCCTTCGCTAGTCACCACAAAGTTATCAAGTGTGTTACAAAAATATAAATTAAACAAAGAAACGCCCTTCCTTGTTAATTGTTTTAATAGTCCCACACATGGTGAAGGTCTAATTATTATTGATCACAGCAGAGTTTTTTTTTTTTTTCCAGAGAAGTAAAGATTTCAAACAATTCATTTTATTGAGGACAACAAAAATAACGTTACTAACACTGATATATTTTGCCGCTGCGTTAGATTTATTGTTCTGGATAAAGTTTTACTGACAATAGCCTGTGCTAGGTTGTCTAAACATTAGCTTGCTAACTTGAGAGGCACGTAGCTAATGACAAGTGGGTTAGAAGATTGTAGATTATTTATTGTTGGGATTTTTTTTATTTTACAGATCAGTTTCAATAAACTTACCATGGTCTGTTCAGCAAAATACGCTACACCGTATTGCTCGCTGCTTCGGCCGTGCTGAAAGTGAAACTTAAAGTGAACGGCCATGACTTGAAAGTAGTCTTCTTGCGCCCTCTGCTGGATACGTTGTACAATTACACCTTTTGCTATTAAGGAACGCGGCTTGTTCCCAGTGTTTATATCAGCTCACGATGGGACAATTATCACGGATATCGATATGTTCCCAAACGCCTATATCGTCCCAAATTATCGTTCAAATGAACAGAACGGGAGCTGCAGCTGAATTGGCATTCTCACAATTACAGTAAATGTAGAAACATAATTGATTTTGGCCGCAGTGTTAAAAATCTTCCGTCTTGCAGGTTCAGATGGTCAGCAACGTACGCTTTGGTCGCAACGTGAACTATCGCATCTTGGACATCGACTGGTGCACGTCAGACAAGGTCGTGCTGGCGTCGGACGACGGCTGCATCCGAGTGTTGGAGATGGCCATGAAATCTGCAAGTTATCGAATGGATGAACAGGACCTGACTGGTGAGCAATTAAACCGGAATTAAACCGACGTTTCACAGAAGACTCTTTGGTTTAAAGCGACACAAGTACATTGTTTACGATACAATACTGTATTTTATTGTATTGCATGACATTGTTTCACTAAAGTCAAAGGTCATATTGTAATATTTGTGGAGTAGCGCTCCTGTTTACCTGAGGGTTTCATGCACAGATCCCGTGTGGTGTCCCTACCTGCTGCTGCCTCGGGCTGCCCTCACTCTCAAGGCTTTCCTTCTGCTGCAGCCCTGGTCAGGAACCTTCACCATGGACGTCACTCAGGTGTAAGTCCCGTTCGCCCAAACGTGTCCGTTCTAATCAAAACTCGCCTCACGTTACAACCCGTTCTATGAAAAGCAATATATAGTTTTTATTGAGAGCAGATCGTTTTGGAGCTCAGAATGTGTGACAGATCCCATCAGGGGCGGAAGAGTTTCTTTCTTTTAGTTTTAATTTAACGTCCTCCACAGACTCTGTTAATAATTGAGACAAACTCCTTTAGGCCAAACTTGTTTTGTTCACGACACAGTCGGGATAAGATCGAACGGATGAACTTTTCTTTGTGAAACGACTCCGTTACAGTCTTGCCACGCTTATCGTGTTTGAATCTGTCTGCAGAGGGTTTTAACGGTCTTCTCGTAAAATGTGTGTCCTGATTATAAATCAGTGCTGTTTTCAGTCTGACTTGTGTTCAGCAAAAATAGGAGTCGTCATTTAATAGTGTTAATGTTTATGAAGCATTCACTCTGTTGTGATCAGCTTTTCTTCCGAACGTTCTTTGGCGTGATTCTCGTCCCGCAGTTTTCAATCTATTTCAACAAATCATAAATCAAAACGTTCGGCTCTTTCAGGACAATCCTGCTGTGACTTTTGGTACTGGTGCAACTTTAGCCTTTTGAAATATTTAGCCTTTTTTGTCACTTTTTTCCTCATAGAAAATGAATTGAGCTCATTTTACATCCTTCACATCTTTAGATGTGTTTACAACCTTTTACTGCTCCTTCCACATTTTGTTCTGCTTCAGCTTCTTTCAGCAGCCTTGTGCAAATTGAACCAAAAAATTCAGCTACTTTCAGATAATTTCAGCTGTTTTTGCAGCTGTTCTGTGCTCCTTTCAGATTCTTTCTGGTAACTACGTTTGTGGTTCTTCTAAATTATTTCTGCTAATTTCGGCTTATTATGCTCCATTCAGCTTATTTTTGCTAGTTTCAGTTTTTTCCTGCTATTTCAGCTTTTATGTAGCTGTTTTTATGCTACTTTTAGCTTTTTCAGCTAATTCCACAATTTTGACACTCATTTCAGCTTCTTTCAGCCTGATTAAGCAAAACTTTGCTCAATCCACTTCCTTCTGGTAATTTAAGCTTCTTTCGGCCTTTTTAGCATTTTTTGTTATTTGCTTATTTCAGTTTGTTTGGTTTATTTTTTTATTTTGTGCGCGATAATTTCCACCTTTTTGTGCTAATTCCTACTTCTTTCAGCCTAATCCGGCAAACGTGTTCTTTCTGCTTTCTTTGACTAATTTTAGCTTGTTCTATCTTTTCAGCTACCTTTTTACTAATTTTAGCTGTTTTCAGATAAATTCAAGGTTTTCATGGTAATTTCTGATACTTTTAGCCTAACTTACTTCTTGTGCTTATTTCAGCTTGTTATGCTCCTTTCAACTTTTTTCTTCTAGTTTCAGCTTTGTCTGCTTCTATTTAAGCTACTATTTAGCTGTTTTTATGCTAATTTTAGCTTTTTCAGCTAATTACACATTTTCTCCCTTCTGGTAGTTTAAGCTTTTTTCTAACTTTTCAGCTAGTTTTTGCTATTCTCATCCTTTTTTAAGCTATTTTCCTAATCATTGTGCTCATTGCTGCTTATTTAAACCAAATTCAGCAAAGATGTGGGGTTTTTTTTTTTTGCTTTCTTCTAACTTGGGCTTTTTAAATTGCATCTCTCATACAGTTTCACTTTGTATTTAAACTTGTTTTTAGTTTGCTGTGAAGAAAGTGTTTTTTAAACTGAATAAACTAAAATCATGTTTGAGGTGTCTAAATATGTGACAGCATAGATGGAAAGTCATGGGAAATTAAATGTATACACAGTTTAATTTCTATGGTTTGACATGTCAGGAAAAATAAAAACTATTAAAAAGAAGAACAGCTGAAGTTAGTAAAGTTTCATCTAAATGATACACAAGCCTTCTGGATTCTAACGAGACCAAAGTGGAGATATATACCCATGATGCACTGCAACATGTTTAGAGAAAACCAATCTCAGCCTGTCGGCATTAAAACCTGATACTAACAGTCCAGCACGGTGGTGGGGGGTTGATGGTTTTTTTATGTTGTTTTTTTACAACATGACCTAATATTTTTTTAACTGGAGCAGTCGGTCAACGAGTGGAGATGAAAAGGATCCTGGACGTTTCACTCAGTCCTGACGAGAACTTTACTTTGATACAGCAGCCTGTTTGAAGCTACTTAACATCAGCGTGGACCGTTAAACTGTCCACAGGCAGCTTCTCTTCACAGGCAGCTTCTCGTCACAGGCAGCTTCTCTTCACAGGCAGCTTCTCTTCACAGACAGCTTCTCGTCACAGGCAGCTTCTCTTAACGGGCAGCTTCTCTTCATGGACAGCTTCTCGTCACGGGCAGCTTCTCGTCACAGGCAGCTTCTCGTCACAGGCAGCTTCTCTTCACAGGCAGCTTCTCTTCACAGGCAGCTTCTCTTCACAGGCAGCTT